GTCCATTTAGTTCACAAAGATCAGATTGAAGGACCCAGAGGATTAGTCAACCTCACCCTTAATTATGATGGGGTCTGATGTTCATTCCAGGAGATCTCTCAACACTGTACACCTGTATTTGGGTAAACTGATGTGCCACTTACAGGATTTGGTAGCCCTTGGATTCCAAAATGGAGATACTATGAGCTCCTTGACCTGATCGAGCAATACAGGCTAAGCAGTTTGGGGTCCAGAAAAGCAGAAGATTTCCCAGTGCCCCAAAAGGATTTCCTCCAGTTAGATCTTCATTTGAGCTTCCATAAGGACTTGTGCATCTCAGGTGTCCTTTATAAAGGTTGTCCATTCTCTAAACAACTAGTAGCTGCATTTAGAAGGGCTGTTGCCATCTTCAGTTTCTGGAGGGTTGTCCCCAAACTTAGTCTTTCCATCTGATTTCAAGTTTCCATGAACTCTTAGAGGTGACTTGCTGAACTTTTGGAATTATCTGTGTAATGACAAAGATCCCTGGCTTTTCAGCATCCTTCAATTCAAGCAGTCTTTGAGAGACTTTCTTCAGCTAGATCCTGCGTCCCAACCAGAAGTCCCAGAGTACAACAGTCTGGTTCCTGACCAGTTAAGCAACTTGGACAGATTCTTCTGTAGAAGTCTAGAAAATGCTGTTAGAAAGCAGAAAACCTTCCATCAAATTTTATTTCACCTGGACAAGATAAAGGATAGGATTCTCTCCAGTTTTCCATTCATTCCCTTTATTCTGGACTGCCTACTTTGCTGCAGTTTATTCTCTTCCTGGGCTTGAGAGTGCACCTGGCTTCAAATTTCTGCCTTCAGTCTCACTAATATAGAAATCTTCGATAATCTTTCCTTGTTACAGTGGTGAGACTTTCAAAAGGTATAGATATGTCATTTTCAGGAGTTGTCCCTGTCCTGGAACTTACATGTAGTGCAAACCAAATCAGTGGCACCACTCATCTGCTAGGATGTTTTTTACATCCCTTTTTTGTCTTCACTCCTATTACACTCCAAGCTGATGCATACTCCTTTTCCATTCTCCATGCTGATCCATCACTGTGTTCTATAAAGATAAGATGCTGCTCTGACCTCTCAGAGCTCTTAGCAAAGCCTCTTTATATTAATCTAACTCTACTGTATCTTTCTCCCAAGCACCACTTGAGACCAGGAGAGATTAAGCTGCAATATTAAAGTATATAGAGCACATTTTGTAATGCATGAAATTTCCAAAGTCTTAGATTTGTGGCACTTGATGTGAGCTGGCTTTCACCCAGACACTAAGTGGTGAAGACTGACTTCTTGCTTGAGAGACCAAGGATCCTAGTATCAGTTGCTTGAGCACAGTGACAAGCCCAGGAGGTAAAACTGTCTATCGTGGGCTGGTACTCTTTCTGGAAGCGTCTATCTTGTGCTTAAAAAAGAAAAGGAAAACTTGTCTGTGGCTCTTGTGGTTGCAAAATCTTAAATGCAAACAAAAGCATTCCTGATGGAATAATAGTAAACTAACAGTGTCTGCCTGAATCTACAGCCTGACGGAGCCATATTGTGAATGGCTCCATCTCTGTGTTAACTTTAGCATTAACTAATGAAAGCACAGAGGTACCCTGCTGTAGGAGCAGCTTGGTAATCTACCACTGCTCCTTTCCAGTTCCTACCCCATCTGTTCTAAGGTAGCTTCAACAATTTCAGTAAGACTTACTCCTGGGGGAATTGTGTGCCACTGTGCAATGAAGAATTTGCACAGAATTAATGTTCTGCACAGAATTTCATTTTTACATGCAGAATTGGTGCTGCAGAGCTGCTGGCTGCCATTAGGAGCAGCTGGACCCAGCAGAGCCTGGTTCTCTAGCTTGCAAATACAGGACACTGTCAGGGAGAGGGAGCTGGAGGGTTCCAGGCAGCTGTGGTGTCCAGCATGTCCTGAAAGAAGGAGGTGGCTTTGTACTAGCTCAGGACCCAGCATCAGGCTGTTTCTCTTGCGCACTCTCGAGATCCCTGGGCTCTGGAGAGGAGGGAGTGTGGATGTCTGGGCCAGGGGATGCCTCACAGCTTAGGATCTGGGAGGTGGGTGTCTGAGAGCATGGGGCAGATTCTCTCCCCCCCACGTGTGCCCAGCTGGCACATATGACACACCCAGACTGAGGCACCCAACAAAAAGCATAGCAGGAGCTGGAACTGGGTTGTTGTAGGGGTTTCTTTAATTCTTTACTCCTGGGGAATCTTTTTTGTTGTCTCTATTGTTAGACATACTTGCCTACATTTATTTTGGAATAAATTACCAAAATAATTGAAACTGATATTATATTGTATTCTGACAAATAAAATATGCAGAGTTTTTTAAAATAGTGTGCAGAATTTTAGAATTTTTTTGGTGCAGAATTCCTCCTGAAGTAAATACTGTCCTTGCTAGGACAGCTATTTTAGCATCTTTTAAAAACACTTTCCCCCAGAGAGGCAAATAAGCTACCTGGATTATATTGATATGTTTACACAACATTACCCCTTGTAATTAGCTTCTAGAGCAGATGCTTGAGTAGGAGAGCAGTTCCACAATCATTGTTCAGTGGGACTTCTCAAACGCTCCTCCCTGGGTTAAAGACTGCTTTGTAATCATCTAGTCTGGGAACCTTGCAGGTAATGCTCTTACATTTAATTAACATAACTGGTTTTTGTAGACTCCCTATGTTTGTTCTGTATCTCCTTCCCCATGGTCTTACAATAGATTCTTGACTTAGTAGGAAGAAGTGAGCAGTGTAGATCCATATAGGCAACTTCATGTACTTAGTAAGTAATTTATCTATTACCAATATTTTTAGGTTTTAAACAACTATGCTAACAAAAGTAGGTTGTAAAATATGTGGGGTAATCATGTGGTCAGTGTTCTGGCCTTCTATACAAGAGACTGGGTTCACTTCAGAGGCCCAGTAAGTAGTGGGTTCCCTTCCCTGCTGTGAGAAAGAGAGACCAAATTAGTTCTACTATACCACCAATAACTGGACCATAGGAGTTACTACAGAGCATTATACTGCTGTGACAACTGTCTCCACAAATTAGGACTTTTGTCTTTGACAAAGTATTAAAATAGAAGCCAGTCTGCTGTCTAAAAATCACTTGAGTGATTGGGCAAATGTTATCCAGTGGTGGTAATACTGGTATGTATGTGAAATTAAAACAAGCTTCCCCCCGTGAGTACAAAACGCTCCAATCCCAGCCATAGGTTGTTATATTGTTCTGTTTAACTTTATTGGAATCGGATAGTAATCTGCATATTTTCTAGAGCAGGGGTCGGCAACCTTTCAGAAGTGGTGTGCCGAGCCTTCATTTATTCATTCTAATTTAAGGTTTTGTGTGCCAGTAATACCTTTTAACGTTTTTAGGTCTTTCTAGAAGTCTGTGTAATATATAACTAAACTCTTGTATGTAAAGTAAATAAGGTTTTTAAAATGTTTAAGAAGCTTCATTTAAAATTAAATTAAAATGCAGAGCCCCCTGGACTGGTGGCCAGGACCCGGGCAGTGTGAGTGCCACTGAAAATCAGCTTGCGTGCTGCCTTTGGCATGTGCCATAGGTTGCCTACCCCTGTTAGAGTAATATAATTAAGAACTCCTTAGTTTGATTTATTTTTGTTCTGTAAAATGTCTGTCTCTCTCTTCTCTTCACACCCTCCCCCCCCTCCCCCCCGCCCCAGTAAGGCCAGATGTGATCATCCAAACATCTAGCATAGCTAAACTGAGCAATATGTTCTAGTGAAAATTCGATCCACTACATGATTTGGGTTTTTGCACTTATTGGCTTCATTATCTGAGAACAGCTTGCTTATAGTACATGTTTATATTCCTTTCCATCTTTAAAAAGGAAAATGTATTTTTCTAAGGAGAAAAGTGATTACATAAGCTATCTTGTGCTAACTTCCAAGAAGCTTCATACTGAACTACTATAGATAGAATCTACTAGTCAGAGTGGAAATGGCCTCAAATACAGGTAATATTTTACTAACTCCAGATGCTCTTTCCATCAGAGTTCCATTTTCATGGTCTTCCTTGCCATATTTCACTTTTATATAAAACTATCCAATGTAACCTTTAACTTCAGTACATTCTTGGATAGATGATAAAATAAGTATTTTAAATTGCAGTTGCTGGCTAATGGTGAGACCTGTACAATGCTAAAATTCTATTGCAGCAACAGTTGTACAAGAAAGCTCCTTCGGGGAGAAGCCATCTTTGTCCTCTTTATACAATGCCTAGCACAGTGGAGTCCCACTCTGACTTGGGCTCCTAGGCACTATGATGATGATTAGTTTTATTAAAGGTCTGTTATACCTATCTGCCCAATATGTCCTTTCCAACTTTAATGCAAAGTAGATGGTTAAACATGAAGACAAAACACATTTTAAATAGGTATCTCCTAATTTACTAATAACGGATTGATACATTTTTTTCAAAATGTACAACTAACTTGTTTTTGATTCTTGCTTTGTTTACTATTTGTATTTCTCTAACCTGAACAAGAAGTTATAGTGAAGTTGCATCATTAAATCATGCAATGTCAATATTGTAAAAATTGGAGGGAAATATCTAGCTTAAACTTTATATTTTTGATAATTCTACTTGTTGGGACTTCTTACAAAAGCCTCATCAGTCTAGAAAGGTGTCCCTCTAAATCAACTTGATATATTTCATTGTACAACTGTCAGAAAAGTTCTCAACAATGTGATGTAAGAAAATGCCCTGTTTAAGCATGTGCAGGGGGTTGAGTATAGGACTGAGGATCTTGACTCTTAACCTTCATTAATCTCAAGGTTTTTAAAAAGAGTTGGTACTTCACATGTAAATCTAGCTGCAGGTTATTTCGGATTTACATTTTTGAAAGCTATAATCCATCTGGCATCATGAACAAGTGCACTGTAGGAAAATGGTTAGTAGCCTTCAGACTCTCCAATCAGATTATTTTCAAATGGCTGCTTAAATGCGTGTATTTTGACCTTTCAGGTGCTGTTAGTGAGTAGTAGTCGGTACCCAGATCAGTGGATTGTACCAGGTGGAGGAATGGAGCCAGAGGAGGAACCAGGAGGTGCTGCAGTCCGAGAGGTTTATGAAGAGGTAAACCTAGATTTAACCGTTCCATTCATATTCGGATAGGGATCTTGAAAAAGGAAAAAAAGAAAAATCAACTTCAGCAACTTCTTTCACAATATAATTTGCCAAAATTCAAATGATCCACAAACTCCAAAGAATTTATAGCTTATCCTATTTCAGACTTAATTTGCATTAAAAATGAGATGAGTCATAAAATAAATGATCAGAATACGTTGCTATGGAAGTAGGTTATGATCAATATTTAGATTGAAACCTGGATTTTGCAGACATTATAGTAAATTCTTAGAATGTGACATGTAAAGGGGTGGCGTGGGGGGGGAGGTAGTTATAAAGAAGCCTGCACGATGGTGGTGGGAGGGTGTGGGGACCCTTTCTGCTTACTTTTACCTTAATTTCAGATTTTTCTGTCTTACATGTAAGACTTTATGGACTACTGGAGGACTAGTGGGTCTCTTAAATCAAGTAATGAGACCCGAGTAGTTGGAAGGAAAGGGATTCTTAGTGTGTGCCTCAGTTTAAAATAATCAAACTCAAATTCCTGACAAAGTATTGAGAAAATGTTTGAATAGTTCATCTCTGCCTCTTCATTTGATGGCTGAGTTTCTGTTCTAATACAAAAAACTAATGTTTTGGCATCAAGTAATGTGTTTGTATACTTGTGTGAGAACACCATATAGGCAGTAGCTTAGGGTTACCATATTGCAGTCCTGGAAAAAGAGGACACTCCAAGGGCCCCCGGTCCTGCCCCAACTCCGCCCCTTCCCCAAAGTCCCCGCCCCAACTCCGCCCCTTCCCCTGAACGCTTCGCCCCCTACTCTTCCCCCTCCCCTGCTTCCCGCGAATCAAATGTTCGGAGAACGGAGTGGTCTCTAGTAGTCAAAGACCCTTCTTCCCCGTCCCCTCCAGTCTGTCTATCCTATTGCTGTCTAACCCGCCCCAGCTCCTCATCTGATTTCAACTGCCCCCCACTACCACTCTGGATTCCTTGTCCCAGTTTCCTGGTCCTGTCTCACTCTCCTCTCTCCCCGCCCCCATCCCTCAGATGGGATGTTTGTTCCAGATTGGCAAAATTATAAGGCTTCCCAACATTTCAACACTTCCCATTCTAAATTTTCGGTTGCTTAACTATAGGCTAGTTCTGCCCACAACAAAGCATATTCAGAACTTCTGATTAAAGGGATTATAAGTGTAGCAACCTCCATCATAGCTACTCACCAAAGATTGAACCTGAGCCATCCAGACTTAAAAGCATGAGCTTCTACTACTTGAGTTCAAGATATAACTCCCTGTAGCTATACAGTTATCCTCTAAAAATCCACCAGAGGAGGGCACAAAACACATGTTGGACAGTGAATTACAGAAGTGCCAAATATTATTATTGAACATCAGGGGATAAACTGGGAGTTTAAGAATATTTGGAAAACAATTTTAGAATAACATTCAGTGCTGTGCTTTAAAAGAAGAAAAACCTGTTAAAACTCATAACTTAGCAGCATTCAGTGTTTGAAAAAAAACAACTTCCAGGAGGGATACAAGTTAAGAATGTTGAAACAGGAAGATGTTGTGCTTAGTTACCACTTGGGCAAGGCGACGTGCTATGTAATACTTGCAAGATTTCACTGTAATGTTTTACAATATATAGCAGCGCAATGCTGATTCCATTGATATTGTTGAGCAATTCATGCTGATTTTATTTCAGCCCACATCTTAATAGTTTTGAATACAAGATCACAATTTTCAGCTCAGTTGGTCTGAACATGCAGAGCTTTAAAATTGCTATGCTCTAAACTGTATATTAACTACAATTTTATAAACCTGCATGTCAGAACTGTGTGCCGCTACTACTAGACAGTGGCACAAGGCAATTCAGTGTGAATCACAGAAATGTAGGACTGGAAGGGACATCAACAGGTCATCTAGTCAAACCCCTGCACTGAGGCAGGACTGAGTAATAACAACTAGACCATCCTTGACAGGTGTTTGTCTAACCTCTTAAAAAACTCCAATGACTGCTATTCCATAACCTCTCTAGGTAATTTGTCCAGTGCTTAACTATCTTTACAGTTAGGAAGTTTTTCCTAATGTCTAACCTAAATCTCCCTTGCTACAATTTAAGCCCATTGCTTCTTTTTCATGCATGTCCTGAGTGGGACGGGGGTGGGTCCAGGCAGTGGGATTGGGAGGAGGGTGGTCGAGGGAGTCGGTGGGTGTGTGGGGATGGACCAGGGGAAGCAGGGTGGAGGAACTAAGAGGGACAGGACTGGGACTGGGAGGCCTGAGGGGGATGGGACAGGACTGGGATGGGGGGAGTAGGGTAGGGGCTGAGGGGAGCATGAATGGGACAGGGTAGAGAGAGCTGTGTAGAGGGGGTGGGGC